GCTGAGTATTTAAATATTTCAGCACTAATTGGAAGAAGGAGGAAGAAAAGGAAGAAAGTGTAACCCTATTCAATCGTGTAACTATAAAAGTTCGCCTTATGCTGGGAAAATATGGTCTCCCACTCATTATAGGTTAATTCTCAGTTGAAGTGATTTTTAATGTAATTTCGCCCCTTCTTTTCATCAAAGTGCAAGCTAGAGCAGTCCCTACATCCAATACTTAGCTTAAACCCGTACTTTGTAACAAATCGACGCGACGAGACGTCTACTTTGTGTCATTGCTTACTTTTACGCTATGACGCCACTAAGTAAATATTCATGGCTAAATCGACTGCACTGTTATCGAGGAATCGTACTAGAGTTGATATTCATAGGTATCGAGTTGACCTTCCTCGCCGCAGAATCATTTCTTACTTTCTCCAAGCTAACAAAAATAGAGGTTGACGTCTAAATGTAAAGATGGGTCGTAAGCCAGGAGGAAGCTGCACTTTGTAACTTCGAGCTGTTTATTGCGGTGCTGCAGAATAAAGATTAGAATTCAGGACGCTTACCTTTTATTAATAAACTCCTTTTCCTCTTTATCGAACTCTGACTGGTTAATAAACGTACGAGAACCTGAAAAGTATGCATAGTCATGTATTTTTTTCAAAAATGCGAACCAACCTCCACTGCACGATCGCACAACCTTACGGCGGAAGGCGGCAGAACCTGCGGAAACGTTCCAGAAATTGAGAGTTCTTAAAAATACTACTTTAATTAGAAACAGATAACTGAAAACGGTTACCGAGTCAGACACGTTACCTGTAATCAGCTAAGCATTTTGAGTGTCCCAGGTGTCGTTTTCTCAAGTAAACGTATGTATTCTTACGGTGATGCTGATGGACACAACTGCAGTTGTTATAAACTGTTGGCACGATGCCAAAATCCATGGGAACACGAAAACATAGGGGTTTGCAGGCTGAAAATGCTTAAAAGGTAGTTCCATCCTCAAATTTGGTTTGTATCTCACAATGATGTCCTAAATGTATCGCTGTATCATGAATTTTGCCAATCTTTTTTCAAATTGCTCATCTGCCTTGCGTCACAAAAATTCGCACTGTCTTTGGTTTTCTATCGTCTTGGTGCTTGAGTCTCTTTCAGTTTCCGCATGTGTCTCTCACACGAAGTCCAACTCAAATTTAATACATCTGCTTTGTGAGTGGTTTATTGTAGCACTGTGGTCAAGGAAGGGATTTTTTGATAATGAAGTGCTGAAGAGGGAGCTTTTAGACATCAAAGTTGGTATTTTGTAAGCCAGTAAAAAATATGATATACAATTCTATATGTAGAGTTGCAAGTATAACATGGTGCACTGATTATCATAATCTTCTAGTAAGTGGACAGCGAAATAAGAGCGTGATATTTCAATTTTATGTAAAAAAACACTTATTCCAGCCCTTTTCTTAAGCTCCTTAAGCTATGTAATCCTTCAAAAAGGAGGATTTAACATATTCTAGCGCCTAACTTGACATCTGCAATCCGTTCAAATGGATACATGAGGTAGATCTTTCTCTTTTATGTTTTTGAACCCCCTGTACAAAACTTTCACCTACAAAAAAAAATTGAGTAGGTTCTTGCACATTAGATAAGGGAGGAATTTTTTTAGATTTGTGTAAAAGGTTAGCATAACTTCCTTCATATCTCAGATTCCGCATTTTCAGAAAGCAAGTTGAATACAGCGCTAATGAATGAAAAAACATAATGCTTAACTATCATTTTGTACTCATCAATGATAGAGTGCTTTCGATATATACATAATATCCTTACTTCAAACTCCTGCCTCGAAGGAACGTATTCGTTACGTCAAAAGTGCACAGAATTCTATCATTAAAGTAACCTACCCAGAACTATGACGAGTAGCAACGAAAACACTAATGTTAGTGGTATCATAAGCTGATTGATGCACGAAACTTCGGGTCTGATCAATGAGATCTCTCGACCGTGAATTGAATCTAATGAGTCAACAATAAAATGTCACCCATCATCACGGGTTTTTGATCAAACGAATCTTTTGGCATATCTTTAGGTTATTTGCAAAGATTTTTTTTCGCTTATCGGATAGTTTTGGTAAATGGTTAGAGAGTAGCAAGCA